CGGGAGCTGCTGCAGGCCTACGGCGAGGACTACGTGGAGGAGATCAACCGCCAGTTCATCCAGTTCATGAAGGTGGCAGTGGAGGACCTCAGCGCGGTGGTGAACAGCATCACAGATGGGCTCTTGGCTGCCAACCCAGCCGTGCGCTACTACCCAGGGCAGGGCCTTGGGCTGATGTATTTCATACACCGCTACCTGCCCTATTTTGTCCGAGACTTGTTCCTGAAAGGATTCTTCATCAACCCCAAGCTGCCCCGAGCGCTGCGGCGAGAGCACCACGACGACGCGAAGGCGGCCTGACCGCGGCCCGCATGCGGTCGGGGGGCAGGAGCCAGCCCTCTCCCGGGATTTCCAGGCACACCAGCCCCCGAGCGCGTGCGCAGCCGCCGGCATCGCCCTCCTGCACCACGGGGGAACGATCAGCACTAGACGTCAAAAACCAAATTGCTTTTTAAAATCAAGCAGATCTATTTTCTATTGTGCGAGAATCAACGTTTTCTAGAGACCTTGTTTTTGTATTTTTTCTAACCGCGCATCCCGCGGCTCTGCACCACGGGCCGGGATGTACCTTGGGTGTTTCTCAGCTACCCGACATCTTCCTCGCTGCTGCCGGAGCTGCAAGCGTTTGTCTGCGTCACCTCTTAGCTGGGTCAGGCTGGGGACTCTGCGGCTGCTGCTGCGCCAACCCCTGCCTCCCCGCTGTTCCGTACACACTCCATGTGCTCCCGGCGAGCACGGGGGTTGAGGCCGGGCTGCGGAGCTCTTCACGAGATGAACTACGTGATTGTCACTTTTTAAATAAATCTGTTCTTGATACGCCACCGGGCTCTGGCTGTCTCCTTCCGCGGTGCAGTGCTGTGCTGCGCAGTCAGGGATGCCTGAGCTGGGTCACAGCTGGCACTGCTCTGACCTTTTGCTTTGCTCTGACTCTGTGGCCCTGGCAGGGGTGACGGTCACAGACGGACAGCCCCATGCAGAAAGCCCAGGCGCGGGGGGCCAAGCCCAGCAGAGGCAGGGGATCTGTCACGCAGCTCCCTAACTGCACGGCTCACTGCCATCTGGCTGCGTGAGCAGCGGGGGCTGCATCTCGCGGGCCCCCAGCAGCTCAGCACCCACAGACCAGGCATCGCCTGGGGCCCCTGGGGCAGAAGCAAGTACCCAAGTCATGCAGGAGCCACACGAGGCTCCACTACTGCAACTATCACCTCCCCCCAGCTGCTGCAGGCTCCTTGTGGGGCTGGAGGAGCAGGCACCCAAGTAAGCAGGGAGAGCACGGTGCAGGAGGCAGATATTTATTGGTGCAGAGAGGAGGGGATCACGGGGTCACAAACACTGCAGAGGTGACCACAGCACAAGCTGGGACAGAGCTGCTCTCCACCCATCCCTCGCAGCACCGAGCATGTGTTTGCTCACCAGCGAGGCTTCTCCGCTGCCACACCACCACGGAGCATCTCCCAGCCAGCGAGCGCAGCAAGGAGCAGGTGCGCCACGCCATGCCCAGGGCTTGGCTCCCACCCCTACCCACAGACAGGCAGGGCCGGGGCAGGGCCTGGGGCATTTCTGCCGCCCTCTGCGCTCATCGGGGTGGCCCCGTGGAACCAGTTGTGCCCGCACAGCTCCATGGCACAAGGCAGGAGGCTGTGCAGGGTTCCTGCACCATCTCCTGAGGCAGAAAGAGCCCCAACTCCTGCATGGCTGTGAGGATCTGGTCCGAGCTGAGGGTGCTCTCCGTGGCGGGAAGGAGCTCAGCCAGCTCACAGAGCCCTTCCACGCTGCAGGGCAGGAGTGAGACTGAGAGCCGCTTCCACGGACACAGCGAGGCCACACTAGTGCAGCTGCTGCTGGAGCTCCACAAGCGCTCTGGCTCTGCCCCCACGTTCCCACAGGCTCCATCCCAGTCCTGGCCCTGGCTGCTCCATCTCTCCCAGGTCAGGGTTAGCTACAGGGGCATGCAGGGATTGCACAGCAGCACGGGCTACGCTACAAACCACACTCAAACTAAATCTCACAGGAAGAACACTGAGGAGGAGGCGTGCAGAGCACGGGCAGAGAGGACCCCCAGCCATGGCAGACCCGATGCATTCCTCTGGTGGTGGGAACCCTTCGGAGGCAGAAACCCCCCAGCCGGTGCTTGCTCTAAGAGCATAAGCAGATACAGAAGATTAGTACAGCGACATGGGGACTACTAGGTAGGCAAGAGGAGGTGTCCCTCCTGCTGCAGAGGGCCAAGCCTGTGCCACTGGTCCCTCTGGACCCCTCACAGCACACACAACTCAAACTTCAGCTCGTGAATAATTTAACTAGCAACTGTACAGTTTCCTCATCTGAGCCAGTTCCACAGATGGGATGTCCCTGGAGTCTGGGTGAGGGGTAACTCGGGGAGCTAGACTGGGGTCCCACCAAGCTCCAGGGGCGCGAGGGTCGGGCAGGAGCAGGGCAGGGTTAGAAGATGGGAATGTAGTTGTCGATCTTGGTCCTGTGCCGCTGGGCAATGCACTCTGCGATCCACACAATGTTACGGCACTCCTGCTCCTTCAGCTTCACGAAGGCATAGAAGACTCCAAAGTGGAACTGGTTGAGGAAGGCCAGCTTGTTCAGCTTCACCTGGGGAAAGCCAGAGGAGGACATGTCACTTGTCCACCTCAGACAGGAGGAGATGCTCAGGGCAAGCACGGAGCAGCCTGGGAGGCACCACGGCTTCCCCAGCAGGCTGGGGGGCTCAGCACGGTATCCTGCTCTGCACCTCCCCAGCTCTTCGGGGCAGCTCTAACCCTGGCTCAGGACAGGCTCCAGCATTTGAAGGTGGAAATATTTCAACCCTCAGGTACTGCGAAAATCCTCCTCTCCCATATAATTACACTCTGGCTTTGCTATCGACGGACCAGATGTCCACCACTAGCCCCAGGCTCGCCTCCCACACTGCTCTCATCTGTCTGGGTGAGAACAGGGAGCACGCACTGTGCTGGGCCCCTATTCCCTTGCTGGAGCAGAGGGCTAGCATCCTTTTCCGTCCCCCAAACTCCATTCATCCACAGCAGTGCTGACAGGGTGGCAGGCAAGCCTTCTGCCACCCTGAGCTTTGCAGACGGCATGGGTAGCCACATGCCAAGCAGTGTCTTGGGACTCGCTCACCTCATGCTCAAAGAATCTGTCTTCAAGGGTCTTGTCTCCAGGGTTGCTGCCAGCACCTTCAAACAGCAGCTTGTACTCCTGCAGGAAGACATCACGAGAGGATATACCCAAACCCCAAAGCTCTCCAAGCTCAGCAGCGTTTGGGGGCCCCATGCATCAAACAGATACCCCAGCCACCATGACAGATCAGCAGAGGACACAGAGAAGCCAAGAGTGCCCACAGAAGCATCGGCAAGGGGATGCTGCTGAGGCTGCACTGCACACACACCAGCTGAGGGCAATCCCCAGCAAGGCAGAGGAAGCCTTTGTTCCATCTGTGAGCTCGTCCAGCCAGAGACCCTGTCCCTTCTCTGAAATGCGCAGCTCTCAAAGCCATATCGCTGCTTCGAGTCAGCATCAGGTACAGACCCCTCCACGTACAGACTGGAGTGTCTGGGCCAGGCCACTGTGCCCACAGACACTGGCACACGCTCAGCTGCTTCAGCGGGGACACTGAGGGGGACACTGAGGGGGACACTGAGCTCTCCGACTCCAAACAGGTCCCCAGCCAGGCACAAGAGCATCTCAAGGAACCCAGACACATCCAGAAGTGTCCTCCCAGGTCAGTGTCTCCCCTGCAACTGAAACGGAGCTCAAGCAACCCACTACGGCTGGAGATGTGGCACCCCGCTTCTTGCTGAAGACACGTTTCCAGCCCCAACCAGCCAAAGAGAGACTGTCACTGCTGTCACACCGATACCTCAAGGATTTGGTGGTGAGGGCTGTCTCCACACCCTGGGAGGGGGTACACAGGGTACACCTGGTCATCCTATCACCACAGCCACGACTAACAAGCCAACAGCACCCCAGGCAAGCCAACTCCATCCTGGCAAAGTAGGACCCAGAACCAAGAGCAGCAGACAGGCACTCCTCTCCCCAGCCTGTCAGTCCTCAAGTTCCCCCAGATCCCTGTGCAGCTCTGATCCAGAGCAGGTCCTTGCACCAGTCCCCAACAGCCCTCATCGCAAAGCACTCACAGGGTAGTAGTCCGCAACGTTCTTGACTTGTTCATAGTCATCTGCTCTGGCCAGCAGAGCCAGGCCCTCAGGGTAGAGCTTGCCACAGTGCGGGAAGAGCTTTGCTCGGTCTTCCTTGGACAGCTCAGTTCCAAATGAGTTAATGGTAATAATGAAGGCCCTCCGGTCAGCTTCGAACTGCGGGAAAAAGAG